CCCCAAAACCCCAAAACCCCAAAACCCCTTTTTGACGGGTCCGTATAGATTATTAGTTATAATCGAGTAAAAATGAAGCCTAATAAGTTAAATTACTCTTCAGCTTTCCGGTATGTGCTAAATATGTCTCAGAGCCCTAATAAGGAGCCTATCGAGCCAGGCCATTTTAAAAAATGGTTTAGCCAAGTTGAAGATAGGGTAACAAAACTTGAAAGTAGTTCCAAAAGTCAGATAATTGGTCAGGTAAAGCCTCCAAAGCATCCTAAGAATGATGCTACAACTTCTGGTGAGGATTCTAGAAACCTGGAAGTAACTAAGATACCTGAAAAGATGGAGACAATTTCTATTCAAGACAAAAACAAGAAGTGAAAAACATTTGCGATGAAACGAAAGTCGGCTGATAATGCACCTTCTCCACTAAATAGTTCTAAGAAAGTGCCTAAGAGTAGGAACTCTGATCTTCACATGAACGATTACTCGTCTTCTTCTTGAGTCTTGCCGGTGATTAATAGACAAAGAGTTCTAAAGAAGCAGAGGTACTTATCAGGCTTGACTAAGCTAAACATTGACATTGGCAAAGATTGTATGAACCAATCCAGGTATGGGTTACCAAAAGGGAAACCTTTAATAAAACTTTCGAATTCTCGAATTGCTCTTGACTCATCCCAAGAGGAGTTTGCTCCAACTCTGTTAGGTACTTCTCAACCTGGAAGTCCTCTATTATAAAGCCAAATAATTCCCCTCCCAGCCAAACACTTGCAGTTCACCCAAAACTTTACTCAAAACACAATCACAACACCCTGGTAAATGCCTTCCTTAATTCTACAGAAGCCGAACTCTTCTTCAAAGAAGAATAACCTAGGGTCCTACCCTCGCAGGTATTCTTTAAATGTTGTAAAGGCTACTGGCAAGAATACAGACTTTGCACAAGGGGGTCTAGCGGCTACCTTACCATTGCTTGAACAACCAAGTCCTTTAGGTCAGAAGGATGAACAGCTTTTGAAGGTACCAACAATCAATTCCAGGAACGACAGTAGTTCTCAGGAGAGCAAGTCAAGTACTGCGTAAGCACAGGTTTGAGGATTTTAAGTGGGAAATTGGGATTTTAAGTGGAGTAAGGGGGTGTTTTAGGAAGAGTTTGGGGCAGATTTGTGCTGGGAGATGTTGGAGGGAGGGTAGGTGGATTAATTGGGTGGACGATGAGAGTTGTATAGAAGTCAGTAATGATGTGATCAGGATTCAAAAGGGGATAAAAAACACAAAAGAAGAAGAGGTTCAAGAGGTGAGGACTTAAAGTTAAAAATTACCCATACAGGAGGATTTTTTATAGCGTCTAGGAGCCTATGAGCCATCTCCAATTTGTTCGGAAGTTTGAATTTTTCATAGGTTTCATTACTAACATTATGATTTATCAGCGACTAGAAAGTTATAGAGGGTTGGGATTAGCCGGTTAGGAGCTTTGAGTTCTGTTGTTTAATATGACTATTTCAGGAGGGAAAATACTTAAATTAGGTGGAAGAGCTGAAGAAAATTATCGAAATGGAAAATGGGTAGATACAACTATATAGAATTCTCTGGACTCTTAAAAGGCATTGAGATTTAAAAGGTTGAGGTTGTTGTTAGGCTTATTATTCAGGCATGCATGAATTGTTAGGCATCATATTTTGCTTGTAATATCCTTATCTAGAGTCCTAAAAATGCCCAACCCCAAGTGCGCAGACTCAGAGGTCTCATTGGTCTAATCCACCGCAAGTTACCTTTAACAAGGACCCTCAACCTCTCAAAGGGACACTCCAAAGTTAGGTCTTCTGAAATAATCACTGCTCTTCCAGACTCTCAATCCTTAAAAATCCTCAATCGCAAGAAGAAGACCATCATGAAGGTAATTCCAGGAAAAATGAGCGAACAAATTCGAGAGAAAATTCAGAAAAAGAAACGTAGAATGGCCCTTCAAAGAATTCGTGACCAGAATTCTGCTCAGCCAGGAGATAAAAAGTTGATGTTTAAGTCCAAAGTTAAAATCAGGAGGCTGGTTAACCCCAACGTGGTCAAAAGTTTTATGTAAGTACTTGTATAGAAATCTAGTAAACATTTTTGTTTAGAAAAACAAGGAATACCGATCTGGAAACATCCCTATCCATGTCCAAAATCAGCATGGTTCATGGGAGAACGGAGTGGTAGGGACCAGCCTTTGAAACTTACTTTACTATTAGTAGAGTTATATTTACACTATCAATTATGATCCTAGAAAAAGGGGTTTTGGGGTTTTGGGGTTTTGGGGTTTTGGGG